ACGTCGTACAGATTAGAGGGCACTTAAATACCTTTTTATTTTCTTTACTTAGTATTTATTACGTAATCTGTAGGACTGCAGGAAAAGCAACAGCTGTGACGCCTGACTTTTTCCACACTTTGACTTTGACCCAGCTACACACCTGACTGTCACACTTGAGGAGTCCGGCTCAGTTACACATTACTCACACAACCTGACACGCATAAAGCTTTGAGCACAACTGCATCACATTGTTGTCACAAAGACTTCCATTTAAAAAGCTGAAGTCATTAAAAAGGAAGCAACCTCAAACCTTTCAGTGAAGTTTTAGTGAAAACATGAACCTGATCTGTGTTGATTCTTAACTTTAGTTTGGGTTTTTAGCGGCGGTTGAAAACAGGCGGAGTTCCTACACTCAGATAAACATCATGCTGTGTTTGCTGACTTTTCCCAATGACGTTATTTGTTATTTATAGACTTCAGCAGAGTAAAGCAGTCCAATAAATTTATTGGGTGTGGTCTAGTTCAAGTGAGATCCGTATTTCTGCTTGATGTTTCATCTTCATCAACCAGTTTCATCAATATACTGCAGTCTTCAGCCGAAAGAGTATGGACCAAAAAAATACTACCAACAGCAAATCTCCTACAACATGATGCTGTAATCCTAAACAATACATTATACCACCTTTTATTTGCTATTGCCGTTCTGTTTGTCATCAGCATTAAACCATCTCTCTGCCTCTCTGGGATCCAGAGGGCCTCTCCTCTAACCACTAGGCCAACAATCCCCAATGATGATCATCATAATAATGATCAAATATCAGTAGGTGCACTAGGGCTGGGCGATATGACCTCAATTCAATATCACAATAAATTAGGCAGTTTTACCTCAATAACAATAAATGCACCATAAATGCCCCGGCTCCGCTATCTGAAAATACTGGCCCCTGCAGGAACTGCAACAGACCTATTTTTCATTTATTTATTGACCAAATCACATTACATATTACTTTCAATGAAATATAAAAGTCTTGTAACCATTCATGTTTAAAGATTCAACAATGTCTCATTGAACAGGAGAAAAATTGTACCTCTCTCGCAAAAAAGTTCGTGCAAAGGTAATGGAGCGTTTTGCACATCTTCAAACCCAACAGCGTGGCTGTGCTCTAGACGGTGGAGGTTGGATGTGTTACTTTGGGTCGTCCAGACACTTTTCAGACAAAATGTGTATTTCGTGTTCTTTTGCTCATTATCTATTACGTAATTTTGGTGCCACTGAACTGTATGTACAGTGATAACAATGTGCATCGTTTAAACTCCTTAAAACTTTTTTTTTATGGAAATTCCTCAGTTGCAATAATTTTTATTTCAAAACGAGCAGAATGTCAACATAGTTTTGCCCACATTTCACTTTCAGCAGGTATCAGAAAATGTCCTCCAAATGTCCATGAGTACATTTGCAAACTGCTATTTGGCTTTTTGAAATAAGTGCTTCATTCTTCACAAGCAGCTTCTTTTGCTCTTAGTTTAATATTAAAGTTCACACCAATGGGCCATTCTCCTTAGTAAATGCTTACCAAGCTTTTATGATTTTCATGATAGCATCATTTGTTGTTAAGATAATTTTGACAACTTTAGGCATCTGGACTTAAAATCATCAAAAACTCTAAAAGATCTGTTTAACTTTGCATTTAGGTTATAGTAGAAATTAAGCAAATCCTATTTGACCTTAAAACAGGGAAGTTTGTCTTATGAACAGACTTTGATGACTTTTTTTATTTTCTTTTAATATGGGAAGATGCTAGAAGGTGTGCCACAAAGAGTTAATATGACTTCTATGGAAAATCAGTGAGGGTCAAATCAATCCACATTAACTGTGAAATGGAAAAGACTTTTATGCTGCGTTTCTTTTTCTGCTTCATCTTCAAAAAATTCAAGCCCAGCCACACATTTTCTTTAAAAGCTTGAATTAATTGTTTATTGCAAATATAACCTTTTAATGAAGCAAATCAGTTAGTCTATTAAGTATCAGGTTGAGAACTAATCTCTCCCCTTTGCTGTTCATATATTTCTGTAACAACTGTTTAGGTTATAGAATTAGGCCTTCTCTCACTTGACACACCATTTGTCGGTTCATAACCTTCTGTCATTTGGCATCTGCTTCGACAGCTAAATGTGGGTTTATGACTCAAATGAAAAAATGTACAACAGCGTTAGTTTGCTCAGAGTTGTTATGCTGCGATCAAGGGTCATTATCTGTTATGATTTATCAGCCAGTTGGTAAAAAGGGGACGAGAAAACCGGCACGGCAGAGTTTGAGTTCACCTTAAACTTGATCCTTTCGGTTTGTTTTTTTTCTTCCATTATTTTGAAAATTGCCTCATTGCAAGGGAAAAAAACATAATGCGCAATAGTTTAATTAAATGGTTTGTTTGCAGGAATACAATCAAGCTGGGATGAAATTGCAAGGCATGAAATAAAATAGTTTTTAAATACATTTTTAACTAATTTACACACAATTAATTTTGTTAATAACAAACGCTATATTTAATTTATTTGAAATGTAGCAAGGTTAGATGCTTTGATGCACAGAGGATTGCATTATTTTCCTTAATTTTCCCTTGAATGAGAAACTTCCAGCCTTATCGTGCACTTTTTGGGTTTGCTTTTGTAATATTTATCTGCTGATTTAGGCTTTTTTCACACCTACCATGTTTGGTCAGCTTTTAAGGCGCCTAGGCATCTACTATGATAATTTGACCAGTTTCTACGCCTGTTGCTCACTTTGGCTGCATACAAAGACTACAGTGGTTTACAGTGGCTGATACTGGAAACTTGTTTCACATCCTGTATTTATGAGCACATTTGAAGTCAGGTCTTCTAGAAAGAAAGATAGAGATAAAACATATTTAAAAATAAATTTGTCATTTATATTTTGTTTACATCAAACAATGGGGAGAAAATAAGGATATTAACTTGGTATTTTTTAGAGAGAATAATTAACCTTTTGGATTAATTAAGTAATTTTGTATTGAATTGACCCTTAAAGATGCTTAAAGAATTGGAGCGTTAAAAATTGCCCGTTAGCCGTGTGTTTTTGTTCCAGTGTTTCAGGTCGTCTAGTTTGCTTCCAAATGAAATCTAGAGTTTTTTACTTCTGGCGTTAGTACGAACCGGCCTCATAACGACCTAACTGCAAATTAAAAGTAAAAAGTGTTTTTGGACTAATAAACCACTGGCAGAAAATTTAGTACTGAAATCCTATAAAGCCACCATCTGTTGGTTAGCAATGCTGCTGCCGACATCTAGCAGCTCAGAAGGGATTCTCTGCTTGACCTTGTATCTTTGATTGATTGAATGATTGACTTTATTGATCTCACAGTTGAAAAAATGTACTTGTTACATTAGCTCAAATAGTCAAAGGAGAAGAAGAAGATGCCAAAGGAGGAAAAAGATGCATATGACAGGATTACTGCACAGGGTGTCTACATGGTTATTTATATAGACATATTTTAAATGTTTTTGTATAAAGAGATTTGGACTGGAAACAGATGGCTTATTAGCCTCTTTAGTGCAGGTCTAGTTTATAAAATGAGAAACTGTTAGCTGATTGGTTAGTCTACCTGCTATCAGATCAGCACATCCCTGTTTTGGATGTTTTGATGTAAAAAAGAAACTGGTTCAATATTTTTAAAGTCATTGTTGGTGGGAACTGTCCTGAAAATCATTAGACAAATTTGATAACTTATGAAATTTAGAAAGTTTTTATTTATTTATTGTTTTACTTAAATATGCTTTGAATCTTTCTCTTTATAAAAGTACACTACAGACATATGGAAGCCTAAAGGAACAATAAACAAGTTATTAACATATTACTTGAATGTAACATCCATCCATCCATCCATCTTCTATTATTCCGTCAGGGTAGTGGAGCCGGTGACTCTCTCCGGCGGTCTATAGGAGAGAGACAGGGTACACATTAGATGGGTCGCGAGTCTATCGCAGGGCAACCCAGCGACACACAACCATGTGCACACACACTCCCACAAAACGTCAATTTAGAGAAGCCAGTTAACCTAACAGTGATGTTTTTGGACTGTGGGAGAAGCTGGAGTACCCAGAAAGAACCCATGCATGCACAGGAATGCAAACTCCATACAAAGATCCCGGGATGGATTCCTGGTCCAGAACCTTTTTTCTGCAAGGCAACAGTTCTACAAACTACCCCACTGAGCAGCCCCAAGCACGTTATTATTGATTAAGAATAAATGTCTTTAAATATGAGATGGTTAGATATTGCATTGTTAGAAATGCAACAGTATTTTACCTAGATTATCACACAGATCTATAAGTTAATTTAATCTCTACTGTCAAAGCTAATGAGCTTTGCTAGCATAGCTCTTGTCAGTGTAACTAATCAGAACTTGACTTACTTTATGCATTAACCAATCAAAATCTCCTGACTCATATATAATTTTTATTATTATTACTACCTGTTGTGAAATAAGCTCAGCAGCTGTCAAGCAAATATATCTGCGCTTCCTTTTTCGTCTTATTTACATTATATCATAGGTAATACTTTTTATTGTGACAATATGGATCCTGTTATGGCTTTGTTTCTTTGCCTTCTTTTTAATATCATTTTTTTTTTATCATTGTTTCTATCACAACATAACCAGAGTCTACTAGTGATTATGTTACTTAAAGGATGCCAAATTTAAATGTTAACACCATATTTTATATTGGCAAACATAAATAAATGTTGATCAGCTAGTAGCCACACAAATCATCTGGTAACTGTTTTAATTGTCAAATTTAATATTTTGGTTTTAAACTGTATATATTTCTTGTTTTATAAACTTCAAATTCAGCATTTTATTGTACTTAAATTTTTACTGTAAGCTTTTAGGTACTTTTTTTATAGTTAAACAGCTGGCAGATTTCGTAGCAGCTTTTGTTTCTCAGTTGCTTACGACCCTTCTGAGTTTTTCTACATCTCTTTTTTTTTTCCTCCATGTTAGACTTGTGATCAAGATGACGACGAGGTGGAGATTGCTGTGGACAACGCAGCCTTCATGGACGAGTTCTTCTCTCAGGTCGGATTTCTGGTTCATGATGGGTGGTATTCAGAGACATAGCAGCTGTTTTTCTTTTTGGTAAAGATAATACCTAAAAGCCGCTGTTGTTTCTAACTTGTCTGTTTCCAGATCGAGGACATCAGGAACAGCATTGATAAAATAGACCAGAATGTGGCTGAAGTCAAAAAGCTTTACTCTGTCATCCTGTCTGCTCCCACCTCAGATCAGAGTGAGACATCCTACCCAATATACTGCTTTGTTTCATTTTTTTCAGCCAATATTTCCTAGCTGAACCTCATTCGCAAGGATCAGTTTATTGTTGTTTTTCTTCATCTTTCTGCTTATTATAATGTAAATTCTATTACAATCTGAGCAGAAAACCCATGCTAAGAGAAACAATGTGAATTGGTTTATAAAATGCCAAGCATATTCTCTTTTCATGCATTAAACGGTGTCCTTTTCTGTCCAAATATTCCTTGCTAAGGCTAAATGATCCATTTCTGTGTGTTGTTTGACTTCAGAAACACAAGATGACTTGGAAGCAATCACCAATGACATAAAGAAGATGGCCAACAATGCAAGAAACAAACTAAAGAGTAAGACCAGCCTTAAAATTAAGCACATTTTCTCTGTGAGAGTGATTAAAAATATCTTATTCAAATTTTTATTTATGTCATTTATTTAAGTTAAATCATATATTAGAAAGTTTGACTGTTTTTTTTAGCCATCGAGAGAAATCTGGAGTCGGAACAGCAGGAGAGGGTGTCTGCAGATATGAGGATACGTAAATCACAGGTAAGTTATGTTCAGGTAATGTCTTAAAATTAGGCCCCTTGTTTGGTGGATTTTACTGTCCTCAAATAGTTTTTACAGCTTTTAATTGGTTTTATTATGAGCTTTTTAATAAAAGTAGTTTGTCTGATATGAGTTATTTGGTGGAAATGTTTCAGCCGTTTCCAGGATCTCCAGATTTTGTGATAATAATTGACAACTCTTCTGTTCCCAGCATGCAGTTCTGTCCAGGAAGTTTGTGGAGGTCATGACAAAGTATAATGAAGCTCAGGTGGACTTCAGGGAGAGGAGTAAAGGACGTATTCAGAGACAACTGGAGATAAGTATGTTACATTTACATTCACAGAATAAAACCCTACAGCTTTCCCGTAACAATGTTTGATTTTCTATTTGTTTTATTCAGCTGGAAAAGCTACAACAGACGAAGAGCTGGAGGAGATGTTGGAGAGTGGAAACGCTGCTGTCTTCACTGCTGGGGTTAGTGATTGCTGTGTGTCTAAACCAGCATCTATTGCTTCTATAACACCTCTCTGCTGTTACCTAGATTTTCTCTTTATAAAAACAAAAAACGTTTTATCTCCTAATGAGTCACATTTTAGATTCGTCTTATCTGTCCTTTTCTCAAAATAGTCTTTGTATTTTCAGAACAAAGCTCTAATCCATCTATCAGGGAGCCGGAAGGACATTAAATATACTTAAAATGACTTCTTAACAAAATTATAAATATGAAAAGCTCTAACTAGCTTTATCCACTAGAATTAAGTCTGATTTTTTAGGGGAGCCATGCAGTTCCTGTCATGAAAGATGTTGTTTTACATATTTAATAAGCAAAATATAACGGTTCAATACAAAAATGGCTTCTGGGAGAACAAATGAAAAAACTGCAATAAAGGAACCTTGTTACTGGGGGTATTGAATGATGTAGCTTTGGCAGCATGTGTCACTGATAAAATAAGAACACCCTGCAGTGAAGCTTGTGTCCAAGCTGAGCTCATGGCGATAAGGAGGAAGCTGTTTTTGGTACAACTGAGGAAGAATTTCTTGCTCAAGGACAGAAAGTTCAACTTAGGATTCCACATTTGCACAGACAGGAACGAACCACACCTAAATAAATTGTTACAATGCAAAAACACACCTAAAGTTCTCAGTAATTCATATGTAACTATGAATTTTAAAACCTCTCTAAGATTTGTAATTGCATTATATTTAGTACTTTATTTTGACAAAGTGGTTCCATTAATAACAGGAAAAGGTCAGTTTAGTAACCAAGCCTGAACCATAATATTGATAGAAGCACTTTTAGAACAAACTTTTCCAGATTGCTTTAATATGAGCAAAATGTGAAAGATGCAGGAAATACATACAAGATGTTTAAAGGCATTACAAATAGTACAATAAAATTAAAACCAAGTCAAAATGGCTCACATTATGTGAAAGCCAAGGAACAATGATTTAAAACAAGACTTAAAAGCAGAGTAGTCTGTTGATGCGCAGTAGCCACGAGTATTTTATAGTTTTGCTGCTGCAAAAGCTTTCTCAGCCTTTAAAAGCATGCTGCTCTTCGGAGTGAGTTGGTACAGAGCAATTAAAGTTTAACAATGTTTAACAAATACAGTGCAGCATGTTGTTCTTTTTTATAATTGACAAAATGACCTGCCATATTACAGATAAGGACTTAAACATTATAAATATCTAATAAATGGATTAACTCTTATAAAACCTACAGCTCACAATAAGATTAAAAACCACAGTATTATCTCTTTAACTTAATTTTCAGTTTTACTCAATGTAATGATTTTAGTTATATTTTTTCCTTTACCTTTCATTTAAATTGACAGAAATAAATTTTTTTGTGCATCTCACCTAGCATCTTCCAACATCAGTTGTTTTAACTGCAGAGCAGTGAGGAGCTGTTTCCGTCTCAGAATAATTTTACTACAGTTCTGTGGTTTAGTTGGACATTTGTTCCAAAATAATTTTATTGAAAGATAAGATTATTAAGAAATTATTTGCTTTGAACAATTAATTTCAACCTCACTTTAATTTAAAATATGGCAGAGTTTGATGGAGGTGTGGCCCTGACCTTCATTAATAATCATTAGCATTTAATGAAAGAAGTTATTAAGATATCTAATTATTAAAAATTGCAGAAGGGCTAAACTGGAAATATTGGGAGACTTTTTTCCAGATATTTGCCTTTAGAAAAACCAAACATGTATTTGTAAATAATGAGTAGATGTTTGTATTTTGTGAGTCTGTTTGGTGAAAGCTACCTGCTGGTCTTTGCAGATTGTGGACTCTGGAATCTCCAAACAAGCCCTGAGTGAGATTGAATCCAGGCATAAAGACATCGTCCGTCTGGAAAGCAGCATCAAGGAGCTGCATGATATGTTTGTAGACATCGCCATGCTGGTGGAGAGCCAGGTAGACTCCTCTGCTTTCACCTGCTTATTGGTTTATTCAGATCCATTCTTCATTTCGTTCCATCTTTACTCTGCCACAGTCCTGGCTCTATCTGATTGTTTTGTTCTGATGTTTTCCACATCCTTACTCTGTTCTATGACTGTCATTCTACATCTACTGTCTGTTTTTTCCAGCTCCATGCTTCTCTTGTACCTGTTCTCTTCCACCGCCACCTCCATCTCATTCCCATAATGGAACCTTAATAAATATTGTAAGATATTAACTAAGCACCATTGCTGACACTGCATTTAGTAGACATGTAGCAACTGTAAGATGAAAAAACTAGAGTATGACCACCTCTTTGTTGCTGCTTGCACCATCATGCTCTCTGAGGGAAAGGGTTCTCTGAGGTAAGAATCTCTGCCTTGCTTTCTGTTTATGTTGTGTAACTTTTTTTTCTCAACTACTTACTTATTTCTAGGTTTGGAAATTGAAGAGATTTTTCCCACAAAGAAATGCGAGACAAACATAAACATTAACAAACATAAAGCTTAATTTTCGAAAGATTTAGGGAATTAACAAAATGGTTAAAGCTCCTTTATTGAAGCTGCTTTACCTGATATAAACATTTACAATGAAGAACAATTGAATAATCCAGATATGTAGCTGTATTCAGAGATATATCTGGACATTTTGGGAACTGAGGGAAATGTCAACTCAATGAGTCACTTACTAAACCTTCTCCCCAAACAAAACATGCAATGGCACGTAAATTGATTTGATAAAGTTGTTAATTTTGCATGAATCCCTTATGCTTATCATGCATATAGCAATAGTAAAAAATGTGTAAAAGATTGTGTAAATTTACGCTTAGGTTCATCTAGCTCAGTGTTACTGTTTTTGCTTTGCAGACTGGCAGATTTGCGAATGGGGATACATCGAATTATCATTTTGTGAGAACTCATACCAGTTAATATTAGTAAAATTTATTGAAAATATGAAAAATCATAACTTTTAAGTAGTGGCTTTAGAAAATGTAGAATTAATAATAATTAATTATATGGAAACAGCTCTCTGATGTTCATGAGACTCTGTCTCTAGAAGTCATTAGCTATTGATGGGGTGCATCAAATGACATCATATAATTCTCATATTATTATTAAACCAACATTGGCAAGAAAGAATGTGATCTAAAATACTCCAAATATGTTTAAAACTTAAGACTAGCATTCAGTTATATTTTAATCTGGACTAAAATAACATAAATCAGTGTAGACAGTTAACAAAGGCACACACAGTGGAAGAGGTTGTGTATGAATTAAATGTATTTACTTCCTACTTTTTTAAAGCAGAGGGGATGAGTAGAAACTGATCATGTGTGACTACTTTTCAGTCGTGAAACGGGAAAGTCGTTCTTCCCTCTTTGACTGTAGAAACGGCTGCTGAGTCTGACTCCTTGTCATTGTTTTGGAGAAGGGAGGAGCTCGCTCCCTAACTGCTAGCTGGAAGCAGTAAACGTAAAGTGATTGATAATTTCATGTTATCATCAGTTGCTACAGGGGTCTGAAAAGTTGCTTCGGTAAATATAGAAAAAAGTCGCTAAGTCAGAGCCAATGACAATAATTGTATAGGGTTACGTTTGCACAGCGCCTCCCTCATGTAAATGTGCAAGAAAGGAGGTAAATATGTTTAAAACAAGGTTTCCATTGCTGATACACTCATTAAAAGTAAGCGGAATAACATTATTCCATTGTAACTCTAAAAGTTTCAGCACAACAAGTGGGGAGGAAGCCCAGATGTCAGTCAAAGGGGCGTTACACTCGTAACAAATTTGAGTATTGGCCTAAATTTCAGTGTAACCATAACTTTTATTAGCTAAACGGCCTGTTAAGCTTAAATATGCTGACGAAAACGCTGATCCTTGTACAAAATAGCCTGTGACTGAATGCCCTCTGGACTCAGTGCAGGGGGTGGGGGAAAAAAGGGATCCTAACTAAATTAACTTCTCTGTTGGATAATGTCTCCCACCCCATGCATGAATTTGTTGCTGCACTGCACAGCTCCTTCAGCGACAGACTGCTGCACCCTAAATACACCAGGGAGCGTTCTCACAGATCCTTCCTCCCAGCAGCTGTCAGACTTTATAACCACCACTGTTCCCAACAACCTCAATAAGTTTTTACATTCATGCTGATTTTGCAGTTTCTACCTTAGTCAGTTAAATAACATCCTGTTATTTTGCACATCTCTGATTTTGCTGTTATTTTCAAATATCCATTACTGTAAAAATGTCCATTGCTGTATAATAGTTATTCATTCTCCAGGTGCACAGTTTTTATCTTGTTAAAACACTTTTCAGTACAGGATTTTATTGTTTATCTTTTGACTCTTCACTATTATGTTATTCTTATACCTTTTTCTAAGGTCCACATTTGTGTGAACTATTTTTTTATAATCTCTTCGCTGTTGTCAACACCAGAATTATCTATTCTAGGGATTTTCTATTCAATACAAAATAATAAAAAAAAAAAACACAAAGTTAAAATTCTTAAGAAAAATGTTAGATTAACAATTTAGGATTATCTTAAGACACTCAAGTAACTTCAATTTAAAACCACAAATGACTTATGTCCAAAAGTTAAAGGTTTTTCTAAAACTTCCTGATTTCTGTCTGTAGTCGTGCATCACTGGAGTTGTCTGGCACATTTTATATAGCTTAGATGTTGCATGTATTTCATATAGTCGTTCATTAAAAGGTTAAAAAAAAAGGCATGAACTGATAAGCCTGCAGCACGAGAGACTGTGCTTGTATGTTTGACTTAGGGAGCCAAGCATTTTATGAATTTCAAAGGTTTTTAACTCTTAAATTATGCAAACAGGAATTATTTACTGCATCAACTGTTTGTCTTTATATAAAGTCTCTTTAGAAGTATCCTTTTTTTACTGAAAGGGTTTTCATAGTGCTTTGCTTTATAGACCAATGTTAAAAACGGCTTCTTTCTACGTGCAGGTGCCTGCATGCCCACCTGCTGCATATTTCGTTCATGCTCTGCTTTGGTAGCATCAAAATTCATGAACTAGTCATGTTAATTTGAGTGATTGTGATTTCATCTGTAGTCGTTCACAGCCTCACCTGGGCTTATTATCTTAATGCTTCACAATAATCTGATATCATTTTGATCTGTTGCCACATAAAAAAAGTGACGACGTCAATGCCAAACTACTTGATGTATTTTAAAATGCATGTTCCTGAATATTGTTTTTTTTTTTTTAGGGGGATGTAGTAGACAACATAGAAAAGAATGTATCTCAGTCAGTCGACCACATTATAGAGGCGAGGGAACAGACCAAAAAAGCTGTGAAGTACCAGGCCAAAGCTCGCAAGGTAATGTGTTTTGCAATCTATTACATGTGACCTCTTCCTGTTGCTTCTCTTATTTCTCTCTCTCTTTTTGCCATGTTTACCACATTTCATCCACTTTGCACATCCTGTATATCGCTCCTTTATTTCACCTCGCTGCCATAATTATTCATACATAACTGTTGCGATCGAGCGTATTCTCGCTGCATGTTTCTTTCTCTCTGCGGATCTGCTCATTTCCCTCTGTGCTTTGCTGCTGCGCCTGGCTCCGTCCCTGCCAGGGCGGGATGATCGACAGGATTGAGAGCAACATGGACCAATCGGTGGGCTTTGTGGAGCGAGCTGTAGCAGACACTAAGAAAGCTGCCAAGTTTCAGCAGGAGGCTCGCCGTGTGAGTGGCTCTGGATAAGAACTGAAGCCCGGTTTCCCAAAAGTAGTCGAGACATTTAGCTTATTAAAAAAAAAAGCATAAACTTAAAAAAAGAATAATAAAATCCATGTTAATATATGCAGTATGTTTAGATTTACCTGACAAAACCTGAGTAAACCAGAAGTGGGGAACTTCTAAACCTTAACTGTCATTAAGTTTTGTTTAAATGCATATTGAAATTGAGAAGCATCTGTTTATGAGAGCAGAAAAATATTTTAAACTTATTTTAGTCACGTATAATCTCTTTCAAAATAAACCTGGATGAGATTTACAGGTTTTACAGTCAAATCCTGATATTAATGAGCAAAACAGCTAAACTCAGGAGCTCTGTGAGTTTCTTTAGTTGGATAATTCATTTGCCTTAAAAAAGCTTTTTTATTTATTCTTTACCTCTTAATTGTTTGAAATATTAAAATCTCTCTTGATTAAAAATCCACTGATCAGCTTCATGTTCTATATGCAGGTTTGCTTTAGTTTCTTCAAAACTAAAGCAACAACTCTCACTAAAGAGATTGTATTTGATGAAATAAATAATGATAATAATAATAATTCAACTTTATTGATCTCACATTGGAGAAATTAACTCTGCATTTAACCCATCCCCTTGGGGAGCAGTGGGCTGCCATTTTGTGGCGCCTGGGGAGCAGTGTGGGGATAAGGGTTTTGCTCAGGAACCAAGAGTGCAGGCTATGGGGATCTAACCGGTTACCCGCAACCTACCCAGGGCACAAGCGCACTGCTCCAACCACTAAACCAACACTGTTTTACTTAAAACAAAAAGCGACCCTGATTTGATAAACCCTGGAGTGAACATCTTGATGCTTTTGGGAAACCACATTAACTTCATGAAGATGATCTCCACTGTCGAGATCTGTGTGCCCGCCCCTCAGTGATTTGTCCCCAACTCTGTCCCCTTTCCATCCCAGTTACAAACCGCTGCTGTGACCCACCCGCCAAGATGACCTTCCTCCCACCCACTGAAACACACACTCACTCACTCTCACATTTTTCTCTTCTTTCTTTCTCCTGATTCTTTTTTTTTTTTACTTTGCTGATGTTTCAGAACATGACTCTAAAAGCTTTTACCTCTTGCTGCTGAAAATATTGTTTTGCTGCTTTAGAATTTTTGTTGCTTAATAAAAACTTATTTGTGCAGATTTTTTTTTCTTTTTTTGCAGCTTCCAGCTATGTGGCATATTGCCTTCTAATTTTATCATTCCTCCTAAGATTTGGAGCTGACCAAACTGTGTATACTGGGTTATTCTCAACAGAAAACTGTGATCATAGTGGTGGTTGTGGTGATCTTACTGGCAGTGATAGCTCTCATTATCGGGTTGTCAGTAGGACTGAAAAACTGAGGTGCTGTTTGACCAAGAGAAGAGCCTTCGGTGAGTAATTTTGGAGAAAATCTGCAGTTTATTGCTTAACAGGTGGGATTGAGGGAAGCTTCAAAGAGTTTTCTGTCTATCCTGAAAGCTCATTTGATGTGTGAGTGTGAAACATTTCTGGTCTGTCATTAATACTCCTCTCATTTTGTCTCTTAATCCGTAGAAGATGATCGTCATCGGTGTATGCTGTGTTGTGTGTATCATCATCATAGTCCTCACTCAGACACTATAAAAGGACTGCGAATCACAACCTCCACCATCATGATGTTTTCTTCATCAGCCCATCCAGTCATTTCAACATTCACTCCAAAAGCTTATGTAGGTTCTTCTATGTGGATCGGTGCTGCTCACCTAGTGTAAAAAAGGGAAGTTGATGACCTTTATTGATGAGTCAACCTGCTGAAGCTCTGATGAGGAAATAAGAGCTGAAGTGAGGCCCAGTACCTGAACTACACCTCTGTGGAACCAAAACCAAAAAAGGGAACTGCAAACTTAACTGTTTCATCACTCCACCATCACCAAACATTTCATTGTGTAACTTTTGATGCTGTCGTCGCACCTCTCTTTGTGTTTGTCTTACACTGTTCCTTAAACTTTGCAGAACCACCCCCCCCAGACCCAAACTATCGATCTAAATGAGCCTCGACACATCTTTACTTATTCTTAAAAGCTACTGATTGTTCACTTTTCCAGGTTGTTGATGGTTTTTAGGGAATTTCAGCACTTTCACTCATAAAAATATGAAATGAAGCTCAGATTTCTGTAATTATATTGTAAAAAAAACAAAACAGAAGTCATACTTATGCACTGTAGACAGTCAGTCTTGTGTCTTAATTTCTTGAAATTATTAATATTAAATATGAAGGATAATACATTTCAGAAGCATTCTATAGAAAAGACTGGAAGGTAGTTCATTATTTTAGAAAAAATGCCTTAAATTGAATCTTAAACCAGTTAACATGTTTAGACATGATATATACAAACCATTAATGTGCTGTAAAGGTACTACAAAGAGTTTGGGGAGGCTAGAATTAACACTAGTAAATATTTTTTATCTTAAAAGGGAGGCTTAAATCATAAGGTCTCTCTTATAGTTGTTTTATGTGTATTTACTGATTATGTTTCCTCTGTATATGTACAGCTAACCTGCCAGTTTAATTAAGTATCCCCATTTAAGTTCCTGTTAGAATGATGCGTAAAGAAAATATAATTTTCTTACAGACATTGTTTAAACGATATTTTGTTGTTAGAAAATGTACCAGAACCGCAGTTTTCAGTTCTGTTTATATATATTCAGATTTAGTTAGGATAAAAGTAAAATATTTGAGCTTTTTTATTTTATTCAAAATGTTATTTCTAATGAGGTGGACCTCATAAACTTGTAGCAAAGTTGAATTCATATGGTCATCTTTCTTTTTCTGTAGGTAGTGTCCAATACTGACGGTTTACAAAATATTGCATGTAGGATTTGAGCATTTAGAGTAAGCGAAGATTACTGTTGTGTCTGTATATAAAGTTGAGATTTCATTTCGATAAGTCATTAATAGCCAAAGCCTTTTCTTTAAAAGATATTGCATATTTACACTTGCAGGGAAATACTTGAAATCAGCATCCAGCATGATTTTTGTGGCCACGCAGGTCGCAGAAGGATGGGGAAGAAAATGAATGAAACTTATTGCACATTTTTCCTTTTTTTATGTCAAATATTTCAAAAATAATTAAAGATTAGTTTTTTTAAAGCCTGAGTGTCTGTCTGGCTGTTTCTGCATCACAAATGTCAATGTAAAAAGGGTCGCAAAAGTTATCTTGCATATTTCACATTATAGATCAAGACTAAGGAAAGCATATGTAAGGTCAAAAGAAAAGGAGCACAGAATTTTAAAATTAAAAGCGGAAAAAGTGTGCATTGCATTCAGCTATATTTGTAAATACAAAATAGGCCAATTTGTTGGAATTACAGCAGCAGTTTTTAGGGGCTATTTTTCTGTAAGGTTTGTACATTTAAACACTATTTTTCTGTGCATATTTTATGCAATCTAAAAATGTCAGCACATTATTTTTTTGTTTTTTCATTCCTTAGTTTAGTTGGCTTAGACTAGGTCATTCTAATCAAGTGTTCTTTGCATTTCTTGAATGTTGCGAAGGGAATCATCCCGTTAACATCAGCTGTATTAAAAAATGCAGAGGAGAGCTGGAAAGCCCTGATCTAAACTATTCCCTCAGTGCTGTGGTGGTGGGTTTAAGAAAGATTTCTTTCAGACAAGCTCCGCCCCTTCTTTAATCTGGCAGTATCTAACATCCTTTTCAGAGTTACTTTGTGTGTTATTATCCATCATGATCAGGTAACAAAAGATTTGGAAATATTTTACTTTGACGCCACATTTCTTCATCTCTGTGTTGAACAACTTGATATTTCAATAAATTCCAACAAAGCCTGTTGCAGATAGTAAAAGAAATGTGAGTAGTTTAAGAAACTGCACATTTTTGATGACTTTTGAAGAGATGTGTGAAAGTGTTTGACATTAACTGCTGTTTTGCAAACGTACAGATTTTAAAGACTTGTTTTGCAGAAGAAGGGGTAAGATGCATCCCCTCTCTCATGTTACTTACAAACACACACAAACACTTATTTCCCCTTTCCTCCATTATCCCCTCTGACCTACCTCCCTACATAAGCAAATATATTTTTTTAACTTTCATGTATTTTACCTCTCCAGAAAAAGATGATGATCACATTGTGCTGTGCCATCATTGGGATCGTTGTCTTCTCCTATCTCTACAGTTTCTTCTCATAAGACATTTCGCACAGGTGAAACCTCACTCTGTAACCATTAAAACAATTTAAACATTTTAATGTTTAACCCCTCATGTTTTGTCTTTATGTATTTTTTCCCCCTAGGAATAAAGATGCATCCAGGAGATTTTTTTGTGTGTGTGTTGCTTACCCAGTTTTTCTTTTTTTTTCTTTTTTTTTTTTTTGACTAAATTAAAGCCTCTCTCAAATGAACAATAAAGAATGACACCTTTCCAAACCCTATTTCCCTTCCACCCTGTCTGATTTAAACCCGTGTTGCTGTATACAGTATCTCGAAACGTGTAATAAATGTGTGGATAATTCTCAGTCTGCCTCTTCTGGGACAGATGGTTGAACATGTGACCAGTAAACTGTAGTCCAGCGCCTCCTTGTGGTGCAATGCAGAAATGACCGCTTTGATCATTGTATTTGTGAATCAAATCAATGCAGTTTATGTATACAATACCAATTTATAACACACTTTGTCTCGTGCAAAAAATCCCTATATTTGCAACTGTTGTCTTATTACTAATTGTAATCCGGTCCAGTTGAAACGATGTTATTCATTATGATGCCCGTTCTGACCTAATTTCCTCCCCCATCGCACTGCAGCTCAGAAGCCCCGCCCATCAGCTCCATTTAGATTGGGGTTCGCTCGTTTTGCTTTACTGGGTATGGATGATAAACTGGAAGCCTCAGGATTTGACTTCAGAGATTTGTGCATGAGAAAAGTGTTGGTTTTTTATGTATCTGATACGGAAGAGGATTAGGGCCACTGAAACTATAAAAAAAAGTTAACTGATTTTAACATTTCATTTTAGTTTAATATGGGAAAAAAGCCAAAATTCTGAGAAAAGGTCTAAATTCAAAGAAAAAAGTCAGAATTCTGAGATTAAAGTCAGAAATCTGACTTTTTCCCCATAGTAAACTGAAATAACATTTTAAAATCAGTTAACTTTTTTTATTTTTTTCAGTGGCCCTAATCCTCTTCCGTAATCTGAACTGCCTTTTCAATCTTTTTTTTTTTTTTTTTTTTAAGATATTTATATAAAACCCTGTTAAATGTGCAGAATTGCATAAAGTGTATTCATGGCAATATGTTTTACGATACTTCGATGTTGTGTTTGTTTCTTCCATTTGTGTAATAAATGTAATTTTGGTCATTTTAAATTTCATATCCTTTCCTTTATTAAACAAATTATTGGTGGCCTGTATGTTTTTTTTTTTTTGTTTTTTTTTTATATAGTCTATTCAAATTTTGGTCATTTGGCCTCATTTAATAAATTGAAATACGGTTTTGATTGATCTTGTTTTTAAGAAAGGAAGTACCTTTTATTAACTTTACTTTTTATGTTATACACAAACCCTAAAGGTTGTGTTTCCCTTATCTGTAAGTGGGAAATCTTCAAAATAACCAGAAATAAATGCTTTCAAACAGCAGACTCTATTTATTCTACATGCTTAATTAACTAAATTACTGTTATTAAAACACTAACAATATTCTAATGGTGGTACAGTGATTGCCCTTTCTAAAGTATTTAAATCCCATTAACCTTTTCGTGTTCTACCAAACAGAATGTTTTAACAAAATACTAATACATGGTCAAAGAAAGTAAAGCAAAAGTATGAAGAGGAAGGAAAAATACAGAAATTTTTGACCTAAATGCTGGATGCTACACAAGGAAAAAAACACCTTAGAACATTGCACATTGTGAAACATGGTGGTGGATGCATCATGCTGTAGGAATACTTTAGGTAGGATGGTAGGTAAGTAAAAGGACCTAAATGTTAGTCCAAAAATAAACCTTTTTGAGAGGCTGCCAAAGATTGAGACTAGGATCACCTTCTAAAAGCAAAACATTGTTAAACAGAGCTACAGTGACGTGGTTTAGATTAAAGAATTTTCATGAGTGAAATGACCGACTTCAAGCTGAGACCTCTCAAACTGTACTACTGCTATATATATATATATATATATATATATATAGATAGATAGATAGATAGATAGATAGATAGATAGATAGATAGATAGATAGATATGAAGAACTAATAAAAGGATAGGCTTTCTTGCTCTGTGGCTCTTTAAAGTCATACATGCCATAAATTGATTTGTTAAAAAAAAAAAAACAATAATGAGATGGACTTAGTATCTTTCAAGTTAAGTGGTGCTTTGATTTACTTTATCGGATGGAATAGATAGTTACGGATTTATTGAAAATTCCTTTTTCTCTACAGTCTAAAGAAACGCTTTAATGTTAAAAACTTGTACTTTTTTTGGAAATATGGTAATTTTTTTTTTTACAAAATATACAAAAAGTTTGTCCTTAATCTTCATATTGGAGTGGCATTTAGCTAAAAACCTTTAGTTTTGTATTTAATCCTTAAATGACCAGAATATGCACGAGTTGTAATAAAACAACAGCAACCTACACGTCTGTTGGTGAACAAATAAAACATGCTTTTAGTTAATATATTGTTTTTCTGTTTTTTTCTTTTTTTTAAATAGCACCTGCTGTATCCAATGAGAGGAGCTCTTGCTAATCTTCAGGCCAGTGGGGGTGAAGGGGGCGGAGCTTTAGCTTTTTCCTCTCTGTTGTGTGTGCGTGACGGTTTGTGTGTGTTTTTTCACCAGCTGAAAATGGCGGCGGCCCCCGGACCGTCGACAGCTCCTAACTTTTAACACACAATAACAAATACCTCTATGATATTAGGCTTTTGTTCACATAACATGGGGAGAGACCTTACCAGGAGGCTTCAGACGCGTTAGTCGGGACACACCACTTTAACTACAACGTCTTTGCAGACTTCAAACGTAAAGGTAATGATGAAAAGCTCCCGTAGAATGGCTAACGACAACTAGCTAGCTAGCTAGCTTCAATTGTAGCATTCTACCTCATAATGGTACTGTCAGCAGAGCTGTTTTGCCCTCTTTTCTGTCGTTTGTTTATATGAACACGTTTTACCAGACTCGTTCAAATTCATCCTGTTGCTGCTTGTATCAGCCATTAGAAGAATGGAAAAGGAGAATTATATCGTACTTTTCAATCGTGTGATGCTAGCCTTAGCTCCATGGCTAAATCAAAAGCAGAGGCTAATATTAGCATTAAGCCCCTGCTGTAGGAGCTGTGCCTCCGTTTTTAAATACATAAATGTTAATATAATAAGCCGTTTATTGGGCGTTTTGTTGATGTATTTTAGAGAGTGATCTTTTTTTCTTTTTAGATTATGGAGGATCCTCACACCCGCTACAGTAAGCGATTGGTAAGTAACTTAGCCGGAGAGCTACATCCTCCTAAACACTTCTGTGTTATTATACGCCATGATTCATTTGTTATCCTGCCTATGCCTGTTTACCCGTTTTCTTGAAGTAAATAAAGGGCCCTTTTGGTTCTGTGTGCGAAGAAAATTACCGGCTTCTTTTGTCCAACTGACTCCTGGCAGAAGCCAGCCTTGTTTTGGTTGTAATGAACTTGTTTAAAGACCCTGGGTTCATCAAAAGGTCAAGTTCAACATCTACCCTGATGGCGTTTGTTCACTGAACTGGTTTCACTTTTTTTTTTACAACCCTCTTCCTTTAAGCTGTAAAGCAAGAAAGCACCCCGCCTCGACGGCATATATGAACGTATTGTTTATGATTACAATTTCTGAAGTAGGTATAAGTTATTTGAACCTATATTGAATGTAGTTTTGCAATATATATATATATTTTTTCAGTTGGCTCACATGTTTATCTCTCCAAGACATTAGATTGGTGCTATATTATAATTGGATAGTTCACCTTATTCTTCATTTTTTCAGGTTTTATGTATTTAAGCATTCCAATTTAATTCTGTTAATAAATTAATAGGTGCTAAAAGTAAAACGCTTCAGATTCTTAAAGAATATGTTAGTTTAAATATCTTAGTCACTGTGAGAAAAGCATGGGGGTTGTTGCATTGTTTGAAAGGGGTGGGGGTGTTTAATCCATCCGTCTGGCCACACTATGGGAGGGGGCAGTGTGTAGAGGATTTACCCCTCCCGTCGTGATACTGTAATTCTTTGTGTGCAACATGAAGTGGTTGAATAAACTCAAGGGTTCTGATTTAATTTTCTTCCTAATCCATAAATATGACTGAAGGCTTCGTTCTGTGACTGATAGTGATTTTATCCATGGCCATTGAAGCTCAGATGTAGGACAAACCTCCTTCAGTGTGTCTTAATGGGTTATCAAAATCAAAACAGTCATGTAGTCAGTAGATTGAGCTGCTGTGGGTTTGTTTTCAAATGACACCCTGGTGGGTTATGGATTTTTCTTTTCTTTTAGTTGCAATCTGCCCGTTATACTATTTGCTAGTTGCGTGTACGTTCAGGTGGGTTTTTGCGAGAATTCTGGTTTGACATAAAACTTAGGGAGAGTTTTGCAAAATTAGAACAGACCGTTTTTGGGCGAGGTGGTTATCTGCATGACCCACATACGCGGCTTTCGCAGGTTTTAGACTCGAATGTCTGACCTTTGCTACACATCTTTATCTTTTCCCTACTTTAAAAAAATACCAAAATGAAGGCCACTAGAGCATAAAAATTTATTTAAAGAAAAAAGAGACTGTTTTGACTTAAGTGTTTATTTTTGTTTAGTGATGGAGTTCACTACATGCAAACACTATCCACAGGAACTCCAGAGATGCTCTTTTGCCCTGTTTTTATATCCATATTGTGCATATTTTATATCCAGATTTTACATCTATATTCTCTCTGCTCAAAAATTTAAAAAACATAAAATGAAAATATAGAAAGAGGTCGTCGTGTTGCAAATACATTTTTTTTAATGAGGGGCCTGATTGACAAATCAAAGGTAAATCAATTTTCATTCCGTGACTGCATATATGGGAGACGATCACAACAATGACACAAATGTTAAAGGGAAGTGAGAAAAGTGACTACTAGAAAAATATTTTGCAATCATCTGTCTTGTGTAATATCATCCAGTCTTGTAGATTCATTTTTGTCTTTTTGTTTTTGGACTCAAATAACACAAAGGTGAAAAAATTTCTTTCATTTGTCCATACTCATTTATAACATGGTAGTAGAATGTCATCAGTAATAAAACTAGTAAAGTATAAGGATTATACTGTTATGTCACTTGTCCGAATTATTTCCTTTCTGATTTAAACCTGTTTTCGTCCTCAGCGGACAGCTCCGCGCAGACAGTATCAAGATGATGGAATCTCAGACGATGAGATTGAAGGAAAACGAACGTTTGACCTGGATGAGAAGTTGCAGTGTGAGAGGTTTGGCAGTAATCTGGTCAAACACATGGAGGGCAAAGGTGAGATGCCAATAGATTTGAGGAAAATGGTTTTGATGAATGAGAAAACACTGACATGCAAAGGTAAATATTTTTTTGTCATCTGTAAAATATTTTACTTGCTTTGTGTTTTTTTTCTTTCATCTATAGATTTTACATATGAATACATACAGAGGGAAGGGCTCAGAGACCCTATTATTTTTAAGACAAGTGATGGCCTTGGACTACAGTAAGTCACTGGATATTTCCCTTTGATCTTACATCTTTAATAAAACATGCAGCAGAATTACAAAATGATTCTCTTTCAGAATGCCAGATCCAGATTTCAGCGTGAGTGATGTCAAAGTGTTTGTCGGTAAGTTCTGGATGTTTGCAGTCTGTCAGCATATTTAGCCGTTTCTTCTCAAGGAGTAAACATTGTTGATGTAGCAGGTTTTTTCACCTCTTTAAGAATTTGAGGTCTAACTGTCTCAGGTCTTTCTACAAAAATAGAATTGGAGCTTATTTTTCACAAGTAAAAAGGTTCTTTTTATTTATCACAACAAAAGTTGACTGGTTCTGTAATGCCGGTAAATTCTGTTTTTATTTTATTTCATTTTACATTTCTGAGAAATGGAACGTTTGCTCTTTTTGAGCTTTAAGCTGCCTCAAAATTCACTCTTTCTCAAAGCTGAAGTCTTTATTTGTCCATAAAAGTTAAGTTAGTCACTGAAGTCCTCTTAACCCTCTTACAGGAAGTCGACGGATTGTAGACGTCATGGACGTGAATACCCAGAAGGGAATTGAGATGTCTATGGCCCAGTGGAGACGCTACTATGAGACGCCACCATCAGAAAGGGAAAAACTCTACAATGTGATCAGCCTGGAGTTCAGCCACACCAAGCTTGAGAACCTGGTCAAGCGACCAGCGTCGGTAAGGATCGCTTTAGAGCTTCACACACATTTTCAGCTGCATAACAAAAAAAAAATTGCATTTTTATAACTTTCATGTTGCCATTGTTTTATTTATAAAAGGAATACTTTCTGTTGTCAGTAGTGGCAATGGTTTATACCGACGTTTTGAAGTCACATGTGCCTTGTTGTGTTCTCTACCCTGTTCAGGTGGACCTCATTGATTGGGTGGACAACATGTGGCCCCGTCATCTGAAGGAGAGACAGAGGGACTCCACCAATGCCATCATTGACATGCATTATCCCAAAGTACAGAAGTGAGTTAATATTTGATTTAGTGCAGTTTTGTGGTGCTGCCAAACATATCTTCTACTTAATTGCAGCTTTATTTCTGTATTTCTTTCTAATAGTGGTTGTGTTGTCTTCCAGGTACTGTCTCATGAGTGTGCAGGGCTGCTTCACAGACTTCCACATCGACTTTGGTGGAACTTCAGTCTGGTACCACATTCTGCGAGGGGCAAAGGTCAGTTTTGGCATCAGGCTGCAATAAAAAACAACACTTTATGGTTTTATCTCTTATCCTTTGGTAGTTAAAATAAAAACAGATTCCATGGTAATTTTGTTATCGGTGCGCACATCTTTTGTAGATATTTTGCCTGCTTGTACGCCAACTCTATTACAGTTGGCTATAAGTAAATTTCTTTGAGCAGGTAAGGACTATTTGCCATTGAAATAGGATGATTTGCATTTAAACTAAATAAGAACCAATTTCTAATTATTTAATTTAATCAACTAGGAGCTGCACAGCATTAACTGATCAGTTGGACCTCAATAAAGCTGAAGTGTTGCCAGTTTGCTAGACTTTAGCTTTCGGTTAAACTAGAAGCTGCTCCGCTTAAGATCAAATACCTCTCTTCAGTAATGAACTAGAGTGGTTTGTAGTCCAACACATCTTTAATAATTTCTTCTCATGGTTACAATCTGTTTTTATATATTTAATAGAGTAGAATAAATAATTCTTATATATTAGTTGATATTTGAGATGATTTGGACTTATTTAGTGTATCTGCTTCCTGCAGGTGTTCTGGCTGATTCCACCAACACCTCAGAACCTGGAAATGTATGAGAACTGGGTTTTATCTGGAAAGCAAGGAGACATCTTCTTGGGAGACAAGTGTTACGACTGCCAGAGGATAGAGCTTCAGCAAGGCAATACGTTCATAATCCCATCAGGTCTGCTGCTCTAATAAAGGCTATCAAACTAATCCATTCATCTCACAAAACTTCAAACACTTCCTCTCCCCTGTTGAAAGGTCACTCTTATTTTGAATGCTTTTCACGATGCAGGGTGGATCCATGCTGTTTACACTCCAGAAGACACTTTGGTGTTTGGGGGAAATTTTCTCCACAGCTTTAACATCCCCATGCAGCTTAACATCTACAACATTGAAGATCGCACACGGGTGAGAATCCATTCAGCATATCGGATAATGTTTAGTTTTATTTTAATGCAATAGAGCATTAAAGCTATGTTGCGTTGATTAAACAAATACGTTTGTAGTGCATGATGGGTCCTACTGTTAGCTGATAGAAACCCTTCCTACATTGTGGGGCTCAGCAGTTAGACTCATCCCCCTGCTATCAGTTCCCCCAAATGAGTAACTGTACTGAAGTGTTGCTATTATTAACCTGTTTTTTCCCTCGTTGTTTAGGTGCCAGCAAAGTTCCGCTACCCATTTTACTATGAGATGTGCTGGTATGTCCTAGAGAGATACCTTTTCTGTCTGACCAACATCTCCCACCTCACACCTGAGTTCCAAAAATACTCCCTGGGTATCGGTGAGGAAAAATTACAACATTCTCCCTTTTTTTTTATTTAGCATAAACTTCCACATAAAATCAGAAGGAAACCCATCCACCATGATTTTAACTTTTTTTTTTTTTTTTTTCAGGACTGACACCGGCAGATGTTGGAATCACTGATCCTTCCGTGAACGGCACCAATGGAGTTGATGGTGAAGCTGAAGAAAAGCATAAGGAAGAGGAAGTGAAGCACGAAGAGGACCATGAGGAGCTCAAAATCAAAGCTGTTACACCTCGGCCTGTGCTGACCCCGTTTGAACAGGAGGGACTGTGGAATCTGTTAGGGAAGCTGGAGGAGCTGCCAGCTCACAAAAAGTGTGTCCCTGCAGGGATTAGAAATGCTGCAGAGCTGCTGGATGACATGAGGGTGAGTAGCTGTATGGAGTAAGACTGAATGTTTAGCATCTTCCTACATTCACCTGTATTCCTGTTTGTCTAGGCTGTTCTAACTGAATGTGCCAGTGATAATATCAAGCTGGCCTACACTGGAACGCCAATAATCAGTTGGCCTAAAAGGGTGAGTACACATCTTTAATGAATCCCTGGTCTTTTAGGAGCAAATACTATTTTTTTTTAAACTCATTTTAAGAAAGCACTCTCTATTTTACAAAACAAAGCATTTTTTCTTTGTCTTGCACACTTGCATGATATTCCAAACATTCTGTTTTTGTGTGTTTTGCTGGTGTTGTTTAGCCATCATGGTACCAGCCGCCAACCCCCCCGGCACCGGTCATTTACCGTCCTCGCTTGGGTCCATCTCTGCACAAATCTAAAACGTCTAAAAAACACACTTCCATTTCGGCTCTGAGGCGCAGACGGGTCAGATGCAAGCGCTGCTCGGCATGCTGCCGAAAGGAGTGTGGGAAATGCCAGTACTGTCATGACATGAGGAAATTTGGTGGTCCTGGTCGTATGAAAAAGAGCTGCGTCATGAGGCAGTGTTTGATGGTGAGATGACATGCTAATGAATGCATTAGTATGAAACTGCTATTTAAGCTACATGGTGTTGCAGCGTTCGTTAACTTTAAAATTAAGTTAGAATCCCAGAATAATTTCGCTGGATCCACTGACAAAATGTATGTTTCCGCTTTTTAGTTAAAGGGAAACGGCTCTTTGTGATGCTTTGTATAAAGTCTGAATTGATTTGATCTGTTTCCCTTTGATCCAGCCTGCCCTACCGAACACAGCCAGATGTGCCGTATGTGGAGAAGGAGAGTTTGACGAATCAGATCCCAGCACCTACTCTTTAATGGAGTGCACTGCCTGTTCGCAGATCGTTCATCGTCAGTGCGTTAAGGTGAGTCTTTCTTTTAGGTGCATTTTTTTTTCTTCTGAATTTTATAGTTTCGGTTTAAAATGTACAATGAAACTTTGATGGTATTGATTTAACTCTAAATCAGAGCACATTCCTATGATCACCCTTATGACTAAAACCTGCTAAACCTGCCTGAGTAATTTTACTAGTTGGCTCTATATATAAAACGCATAAATGGAATTCGTGGTTAACTCTCAGTAAAGAGGTTTGTACGGATCATAAATGCTTCCCTATTTGTTAAAATAAACGAATATGCCACTGTTTTTAAAGTTTTAAGATGTGCAGAATGTTTTTCTGGTAATAAGAGTATGGCCCTTGGATCCATTGTGAACATTTAAAGTAACATTTAAAGAAAACAGTGTGAATGCCTGTCAATATCTGTGAGGAGAGAAAAATATCCCAACAGCTGAACCCTTAAAAGCTCATTAAGGAACATCTCGTACAGGGTCTCCGCGGGTCATTAAAATAATTAGAAGTCATTAAATTATAGTTTTTTTTTTAATTAAGGCCTAAATTGGCATTAAAATTCATTGAATATGATTATTGTGGCATTTAAAATGCTTTATTTAAAAAAAAAAAGTTTATAAAACGATTTCGTCAGATATCGCAATATATTGCATATAGCTGCTTCCGGTTGATCGTAAAGCCGTGTGTTCAGAAAAGAAGCTTGAGGCAGAGAAAAAAGCTACAGAATTGGAAAATGTAAAATTCAACAAAAGTGGCTGAAAATCGAGGAAGTCGGGACATGGCTGCAGCCTGTCGACGGTAAAGATGATGAAGGATTTTGCTGTATATATGAGAGTCATGGGTACTTGTTGATGGTATTAAAATTATTTCTAAGGGAATTAAATTAGAGTTACTCATTCCTGTATAAACCCTGTTATATATTACTACAACTCTAGAAATATTAAACTTTTTTGGGGGGTATTTTCATATATAAGCAAACGTTAAAAAATCCTCAATGAGAACACTAACCTTTTTAGGTATATCTGAGAATCAACTAGGGCTGGGCGATAATTCAATAACGATATATATCGATCGATAGACGTGTGGCGCAATAGAAAAAAATAGGGTCGATAAAAGTTCGATAAAAAGACGCAGTTTTCCTTCCTTCTCATTGTAGCCTATAATGTAGGTTTATGCTAGTCACTACTTCATCCCAACCAATCGCAATCGAGGACCCAGGCACGCCGTCACAAAGCGCTGCCCTCTCAAACCACAACAGAGAGCACATGAAGATGTCGCAGCAAGGAGAGGCGGAGGAAATTGTTCCAGAGAAGGGTTTTTGTAGTTCGCCAGTTTGGCAGTATTTCGGTCATGGCAAGTCGGACAAAAAACACAACCAACTTTTTTTTTTATCATCTCAACCGCTCACACCCGCAGGAGTATGAGCTGTGTAGGCCCCGGCGCGGCTCTCCTCCGAGGAATCTTTGGGAATTTCTGGGAAAAAAAAAATGTATATATTTTTTTTTTCAGTTCTGGGCAGTTTCCCACGTAGTTCTAACAATTGAGAGAAAAATGCTGAGGGGCCAGCAACTTCAAAATAATAACTCAGGTTAAAGCAGCAAACTAAGCTGAACCATAACGAGGTTCCAGTAGCACCTCTAGAAGAATAGGGGTGAGAAAAAATACCCCATAGAGATGCTAGGCTAAAGGGTGAGTTGATTTTTGTTTGGGTTTTTGTTCTTGTTGAGTGTAGTTTACATGTTAGCCTAGTCCTAAAATCTTTTAATTACCCCAAGCTGGTGGTGTACTATTCCCACCTAAATAGGGTATTCTATTTATTTATTTGTTATATTTATTTTGATCACTTTTCTGGTCACTTTAGTTTATTCTCTGTCAGTTTTAAATAACATAACTCAGGTCTTTTAAGTTATTTTTCTTTAAAACAATTCTGTTATGGTTAAAAAAGTTGGTTAAATAAATATTTAATTGGAAGTCTGTGTTTGTGTTCTTTATTAAAATTAAATCATTTAGCAATATCATAAAAAGTCCAGGCAGACTGCACATAAAATATGGTTTCAAATATTTTCAATAATTATCGATATCGATCAATAAGCATTTTTTTTTTTTTTTATCGATAAGCTTTTATTCTATATCGTCCAGCCCTAGAATCAACTACTTGCTTTTATGCTATTAAATGGAAATGGCTAAACCAAATTTGCTGTTTCTCTTTGATTGACATGTCTTGATCATAAGTTAGTTATAAATGTCATTGCTCCTTTTCCTGGGAGCATACAGATGTCAAAGCAAATTGTCCATACTTTGAAAACAAAGTATGAACAATGGATGTTGGTGTATCTTTAAACCCGTACGCTTATTTTCTTTAATTCTAAGGTACATTCCTTGGATAGTTTCTGTATGTGACTCTTAATTGTCTGTTTCAGGAACCTGGCGAGGGAAAGATCAATAAGGACCTACCCAGCTGCTGGGAATGTCCAAAATGTTACCAAGGCTTGGACTCTGAATCAGAGGTACCAAACTCCAACACTCTTCCTCTTTTGCTTAAATCTGCCCTTCTGTTAGTCTTTCAGCAGCTGGTTGGTCAGTTGTTGTTATTGAGAAAAGTTGACGAACCTCTCATCATCAGTCTTCCAGTGATGAGGAGAGCGACGAATCTGAGGGCTCCACCTTCATGCCACAGTCTAAACGTGCATATCAGGAAGACAACGATGTGGAAGGGGTGAGGCGGCGGCAACGCAGCAGATCGCCGGGCCGACAAACGGCACCACCTCCCTCACAAAAACTTCTCCTGCAGCATCAGCAGAATCGCAAACGGGAGAGTGCGCTGGAGTACAGGCTAAAGAAACGGGTAGATATGATGCATCCAAAGAGGCTCTAACTGCTAATATATGACCTTTTCAAAGACGCAAGTAGAAAGCTGCCTTACTGTTTATTTTAAATCACAAATTCTCCACTTTTTTTTCAGATAAAACTGGAGAGAAGCAAGCTTTTAAGAGTAAGAAATGTTTGACGTTTTATAGTTATCATATTGCTCCTAAATCATGTTTTAGATTTGATGAATTTAGATGTGTTTAAAAAATGTTACGTTTTTTTTTTTTTTTTTTTCAAAGAAACAGTCATCTTTGGGTCGCTCTCCAATTCCTCTGAGGTCCAGGCTGATGTCTCGCCTGAACTCTCCAGTCAGCAGGGTGTCTCAGGGCCAAAGCCGGGGCTCCCCTTGGGCAAGTGGTTCATCTCACAGCAGCATTCTGGGAGGCAATGGTTCGTTTGGGCAGCAGAAGTCCTCCCACAGCCTGGTTCTTCATCCCAAAGGAGAGCCACGCAGGGGACACGGGAGAGGTGTGAGACTCCGGGGTGGAGGAGCCGGGCGAGGTGGAGGCAGGCATCATGTCCTGGAGGACGACACTGAGGATAGCAGTGGCAGCACCTCCAACAGCAGTACCAGTGAGGAAGATGACGAAGACGATGAGGAGGAGGAGAGTGGGCTGAGCAACGGGAGGGGAGGGGATAAAGAGAACCAGCCACAGTCGGGGCAAGGGCAGCCTCCCACTGAACAGGAGGACTGTGGAAGTGGACTGGGAAACCAAAACGGAGGAGATAAGGAGGATGAAGAAGAGGACATGGAGCATGACATTCCAAATGGGGACAAAGATGGCTCCTTTATCAAAGTGACACTTCAGAAGCCATCCAGAGCAAAACAGGACTCCTCAGCTATTGTCCCAAAATTAGAGGCTGTCGCCCCTCAAACTGCCACTTCCCCAACACACAGCCAGAGCAAACCCCTGGTCAGACCCCCTATTAGAAACCGACGGCTTTGTCCTGTTCCACACACCCCCCCATACACTCGGAGCAGACAAACAGACTCTCGTTCTTCCAACCCAGACAGACTTGAAGCATCAACGCAAACGACGCCCAACAGACCAGCCAAACTAAGCAATGGTGCTTCCTCCTCTGCATCATCTGAGCTTCACCACCTCAGGGTCCCTCTGTCTGCTCTGCAGGAAGGAGGGGGAGAGGCAGACAGGGAGAATGCAGGAAGTAGTCCAAGCTGTGAGAGGGAAGTCTGGGTCTCTGTCTTCCGCTACTTAAATCGAGCCGACCTGTGCATCTGCATGGCAGTCTGCAAGAACTGGTACAAATGGTAAGAACTTGTAACTGATCCTCGTTATTTAGGATAAAAATCAGACCCTTTCCTGACATTACTTTTATTTCCACTCATTTAAACAATAGAAACCAAAGGCCAGGCGGTTTGGTATGAATATCAGAATGCATATTGGTTGAATAAAAACATGCAGAGGTCCTAATACTGCTAATGGTCACAGTTAAGTTTAATTCATCAGTAAGAAGCTGTTTAAACCTTTATGTTAGGAGATATAGCAAAAGAAGTTTTCACTCTTAACATGTTCATATCACAGCTTCTTTTCCACATTTATTCCACATTTGGTCCATAACTAACACTTTAAGCTTTGATCAACTGATATGGACGATTAATGATAAACAGAAAACAAAACTTATCCTTAAAATATCTTTGTGAAAAAGGCTGTAAGAAAACTGGCTCTGTTTCAGATCCCCCTCATTTTTTTTACCTTTATGTTCATTTAAAAGCATTATGCCAGTGTACTTGGATCATTTCAGTTAAAAAATACTGGCTGATACTCCCACGGAAATTCAATATTTTGCAAGTTTATTTATTTATAGTAATTACCATAAAAGAACATTAGTTCCATTTTTAAATCAGTGTTTCTGCCGGTCATTCCATTATTTTTTTTAAATGAAGGCCTTAATTGATATTAAAATGAATTAAATGTGATTATCATGGCATTTCAAATTATTTATAAAAAAAAAATAAGGCAGAGAAAAAGCTACAGAATAGGAATGTGCAAACTTCAACAAAATTGGCTGGAAAATGAGGAATTTGGGACATCGATTCAGCCTGTTGACAGGAAAGATGAAGGATTGTAACGTGTATTAGATAAATATTTATATATATATATTAGGGGTGGAACGGTTTTACAAAATCCACAGTTCAGTTCGATTCACGGTTTCGTGGTCACGGTTCGGTTCGATTCGGTATATGTTGATTGTTACACCGAAATCCCATAAGAATTTATGAAATTAATGAAAAAATCCCCCCAAAAAGAATGGATTGTAATTATTTTAAAATGATCCGCGGAAACCCTGGATCATTTTCGTATGTTTTGCTGCTTTGAATTTAATCATCTCACGCATGCTCTCTACCATCTCCAAGGGACTCAGAGGGAAGCGGACGGGAGCTACAGTGGAGGCTGTAGACTTTGCTTTGAGCAGCCGGTCTGGAGCGCAGCGGGGGTTGCTGACGGAGTATGAGGGATTTCGGGGTTAGCATGACATGTTGGTCATGTTGCTGTTAGCATAAACAAAACGTGTTGCACAATGCTTGCACACTGTCGCACTTTATCCACAACTTTCTTTCCGCCGTCATCGTAGGTCACTCTAAATGCAAAGTGGTCCCATACAGCAGACCTATAAAGTGACCTACGATGACGGCGGAAAGAAAGTTGTGGATAAAGTGCGACAGTGTGCGTGCATTGTGCAACACGTTTTGTTTATGCTAACAGCAACATGACCAACATGTCATGCTAACCTCGAAATCCCTCATACTCCGTCAGCAACCCCCGCT